GCTGATCTAAGTCAGGGCATAGCTAACTCACAGATCAAACCCTGAAACAACCTCTGGGCTGATCTAAGTCAGGGCATAGCTAACTCACAGATCAAACCCTGAAACAACCTCTGGGCTGATCTAAGTCGTGAAATGGCTAACTCACAGATTGAACCCTGAAACAACCGCTGGACTAATCTAGGGCAGGGCATGGCCAACTCACGTATCAAACACTGAAACAACCTCTGGGCTGATCTAAGTCAGGGCACAGCTAACTCACAGATCAAACCCTGAAACAACCTCTGGGCTGATCTAAGTCATGAAATGGCTACTTCAAAAACAACTCAAACAAAGAATTATATTTTCAAGAGAATGAACGTGATCTGAAGAGGTAAACATTGCACACCAAGATGACTTAGGTCTTTTTCTTCTAAAACTAACTGAAGTTTATTTTAGCCAGACTAGGTATTTGTTAGTGTTTTAATACTTGTAATCCATGGATTTGATAGGTTTATAGAGAACATCTAGAAAAATCCAGAACAATAACAGTTTAATCTTGCAAAACATTTACGACATATTCAAAACTGTATATGCTGCACGAAATAAAAGATAAAGTAACCACCGCAAAGGCTCATGGTATGTTAGCAAGTTATGCATGGACTTATGATCTCCTTGTGCTATTTTTAGCTTGGTTTTCCCGCGTTTACTTGAGTTAATTKACTACATCATTTTGGCCTCCAAATAGGCTCATCGCGCATCAAACAGTCACGTGCTGATAAATTGATTTGATAACCATTCAACTCAGCCAAAGGTCCCTTGGGGAAGGCGCTCTCTGCYGGATCGCGAACAAATATCTTATAAGAGAAAGTATTTTTTWAAAAAGGTTTTGGATATGACATTATCAATCCAGCAGAAGTTATTTAGATAAAGAAAGTCCAAATTTTTTTGCCCACCCAGCAACAGTCACATGGTTATGTCCTGCAAATGGCCTATAAAACATTTTTTTTAAATCTTTTTTATCCAAAGTGAGCTCCCTGTTGCCTTTAGCGTACCTTATGAATTYTTAATCTTGGATTGGAAACAAGAGAATCAAGAATGGAAAATGGTTGAAAGGAAAGCTAAATTTCCCCCTTTCTTTTCCTCTACTTTAATAGCAATGTACGAGTTCATTCTTCACATGCTTATAATCGATACACGCCCTTGGCGAAGATAAGGTGTCACAGACAAGTGGCTCTGACTCTGTTCCATGTTGTTGGACACCATTGGTTGAACTGCCGATGATTGACAGCAGAACATAGTTTTGAGAGTTCGCTTGAATTCAGGAAACCTTGAGGAATAGACTAGAGGGTTAATCAAACTATTGCTGTAGTGAAGTAACTTGAAGAAGTTGACGTATTTGATGGGAAGCGATCGGCATTCGACGCAGAAGAACATGGTGATATTCAGAATATGAAAAGGAATCCATGTAAAGATAAAAATAACAGTGATGATTGCCAAAGTCACAGCAAGTTTGTTCTCGGTCTTGTGGTCATTGAGTGTTGCTCGATTCACTTGACGTGGTTGTTTGATGTTGACTTTAATCCACACAGCGATATAGGCGACGCAGATTATTATGAGCGACACGGTGAGAGAAATCATGACACAACTAAAGAATCCTTCCAACGAAATGACTTCTAAATCAAAGAGAACCCTTAATAGAGTCTGTATCACGGTCAGGCCCCATATTAACACGATCATTGCCAAGTACATTTTTCTTTTGGCTCTTCTATGGTGATGAGGAAGAAACACGGAGTAGACTCTCTCSAGCGCAATCACAGTCAACCCAAAAACACTCCCAAAACCAGTTAGTACATCAATGCAAATGAAGGACATATAAAACCCTGGATTCTGTTGAAGAGCGTAGTTTGTTCCAGGCCATGTTAGTGCCATATACATTGGGAGGGTYACTGAACCAACTATCAAATCCGCAATAGAGAGATTTAATAACAAAATTGTTGTGCGCATGCGTCTGAGGCGTAGGTTACCAACAAAGAGGTAGATTGACAAGCTGTTGCCCACGATGACGAAAACAGCAATAATGCCGTAAGCTGAAGACCAAAGCGACTCTTCCAGAAGTGTCATCATACCTTAGTCTTGTTAGAMAGTCACTTGGGATATCTACATGGGATATCTACATGTATACACTGAAAATTAATATSAAAGCCAGTCAGTTATATCCACGAGGAACTGTTTCCAATTCCTGACATRATTTAATTCCTGTTATGATTTAAATAAATGTATATCCCGATACCCGGCATTCTCTCTCAAATCTCGATACCGGAGAAGCTAGCCCTCGAACATTTCCGCTTAAGAACTGACTACAATGCACATATATCCTATATCCGGCACTCTCTCAAATCTCGATACCGGAGAAGCTAGCCCTTGAACGTTTCCGCTTAAGAACTGACTACAATGCACATATAACCGATATCCGGCACTCTCTCTCACCATCTCGATACCGGAGAAGCTACAATCATTGCCATAATTAGTTGGCACGCTTGACAGATTTCAGTATATTAGAGGGTACTTTCCAAAACACTACCTAGGACTAAACCCCCCTCCCCCCGTACAATGTTGGGATTCCTGCAAGTTGGCAGAGGGTTGGCGAGTCTGATCAGGGGTACCAACTTTCTTTCAGGGAACAGCAACATTGTACAGGGGGGAGGGGGAGAGCGCGACAGAGGAAAGCCATTTTCTGTGTCAGCCAAAATGTGCCATCGTGCCAAGTATTTTGGCAATGATTGTAGCTCTCGAACATTTCCGCTTAAGAACTGACTCTAATGCAACTATATCCGATATCCGGCATTATAGCTAAAATCTCGCTACCGGAGAAGCTAACTAACCCTYGGAACATTATCTTGACCTATGTTTTCCTGAAGAAGGATTAATATTTACTTCTGCAACTGATCATCTGACCAAACGTAATTGATTTAACAGATCACATGACTATAGTTATAGGCACCTTGCATAAATTCCCTATCGAGAGGGGGAGGGGGGGTCATTGTTTTGACCTCCGCAGGTACGTATTTAGTGCAAGATAAATAGTCAATCTAATCGAAATAGAACTGATAACCAATAGTTATGGTGATTATTCTGCTACTTTTACTTAAATTAGGATTATTAGTTTTATACCTAGGTTTCCTTGTGAAGCAACCCTGATTGAATCTCCTTTTTTCCTAGATTYTTCTTCTTCTTCTTCTTCTCTGTCGTCGGCATAGAATTTTACTCGCTTTATGTACTCGCTCGTTGATTGAATSGTATTTGAATAATTATCCATTCAAAAAATTATATATGCGACCGCCGTTAAWTCACCAATCTGTACGTAAGTTAGTAAGCCTTAAGGGCTGAGAGTATAAAGCATTACAAGTGGCTTGTACTGGCAGCGTTAAGAGATCAAGAACAGGAAATTGACGCTAACAGCCGAAAAGGGATCTGATGCATTAGGGACGAACGGACTCCAACGAGTTGCCGAAGACTCTAGATTTTGACAAACCATGTTTTTCAAATGTATAAATTTCAAGTAAACTTCTCTCCCCCTCATTAAAGGTTGTACACTAAACCGACGTCTTGTTTGCAGACGGTTATACACACAAAGTTCGTTTTCGATAAGAATCATCAAAAGAATCATCGAAAAAGAAGAAGAAGAAAAAAAAAAAGGATCATCAGCGATACCGATACATTATTGTAAAGATTTTGATAAATGTATTATAATCGAATACACAAAAGCGGCACGAAGGGGTTTATGGGACTTGTAGTCAAAACAGCCGTTCTATCAACTGCCATTTGTGTAAAACATACTCCAGAGAAATTTCTCGAATATCAGCGTAAGATTCACTTTAAAACGAACAAAGCCTGAATATGATCTAACTGCGACGCAGCTCCTAAAATTTCAAATGTTTTTGATATTTGCTTTTATCAGGATTTTGAGAGTACRTAATACAAGAATAAAATTAAATTACCAGGATAATAGAGATCTACGAGAGGCACGCAAGGGATTAAAAACTAAGTAGATGATTGGTGAATTTATTGCTAATCGGCAAGCTAGATTTTCAATACGATTATACCATCATGTAGGTTAAGCAAGATTGCTATCTCAGACGCAAGTTTGGTTTTAAAGGATTTCAATTCTAATAACATGGTGGCCATCAGGATGGAGGCGTTGGAAGAATCAYGTACACTTTTGCTAGCACGTATAGCCAGAAAAAAGAAAGAAAGAAAGAAGATCCAGATACTATTTGATAGCCATTACTCATTGCTYATGTAAAAAAAATGCCTTTGATTCTAAACAAGATAACTTTGTTTTTGAATCAAAAGGCTCTTGAGGAACACCCTCAGTGGCGCAGGAAAAYTCCATATCAAAGAAGACCGCCTCTAACTTTGTTTTTCAGTAAGCATAGTGGTTGACATAATCTGAAGTTTGTACCAGGCCTTCGGAAACAAATTAGGAGACTCTTCAGTCTTAAAAGATATAAATAACATCAAGATTGATGGGTTTCATGAAGTGCGTTACGTTAATGTTGGCATGTAGAGACGGCTAGGTGTTGCCTGAGGATAGGATTAACACAGTAAATTGTCAAAGAACTAGATCAACTAATGGTTTTTAGGTCCTTAATTTGATGAAATTATTTTTGATTTAAAGCGAATATTCTKCAAGCTACGTTGATTTTAAGACGATGAAAAGAAATCGTTCCTCGCCTTTGAGCGAGTCAAGAAGACAAGAGCCTGGGTCGATCGCTCATATGACGTCATCTTAACAGATGAAGTTTTTGATTGATAATGAAAGGCCGAAGTCATTGTCAGTATCAATGGATGGATTATCACTYCGTTATAGGCTATTAGAAATATATRAATRTTTGAAAAATAATYATTACTGACGTCTAAGAAGTAAACGCCACCAGCTTTCCAAATCATTATGRACCTAAGGCTTTTTTCGCTATCGAACAGCTATTTCTTTTTCTTTTCTAACGTGAATTTCTCTTGTATTCCTTTTGAATTACATATGGTTCAGTGAATAGAACTCGACATTTTTTTAATAAGCTAGTAAAAGAGTGCTCTAAACAGCATGATAACCAGGGTACTCCTACCATGTCCACACGGGGGCATTTGGATTACTCTTCTCTACTGGTAAAGCTGAACCATGTCAAATTAACCATGCCAACTTTATCATGAATTAAATTAACCTTGTGTATCTAATATGAATAGGATTAATTCATATGATAAAATCAAGCTTACCATGCAATTCAGTGTGACTCAGTASTCGTTATAAGGCGAAGATACAGCAGTATGTTAGTTCGTTTAGATCAGAAATCACACTCGCTTTTCTGCTGTCATTATGTATTTACAGGTCAATTCAAATACGTCGGCAAATCCGGACGAAATGACGCGTAGATCTGAAACTCTGAGATCTATCTCGAGGTACTTTCKTTGAACGTAAGAGCCAAAGATACACGATTTCTGATAGATAATTCTCACGGTTTTGCTGCGGAGCTTTGGACATATGGTCTCGGGGTCTTACATCTAAGACGAATCTCATAATCGGCGCCCTTATTGATAAGGAATAAATGGACCTCTATCGCAAATAAACTCACGTCAAAAGCTAAAATAATATTGAACTCCAGTAAGGATTTAAATATTCTAAATTTCAGTTTAATGAAAGGGTGTTTGTAGACAATAGTTCTCCAGCTTTCAATGCTATACTTACAGTGTCAATATTTTTCTATGCCTCTCGCTTTCTGTCTAAATGTGTTGGAGTTTTTTCTTTTTTTTTTTCTTTTCTTTTCTTTTTTTTTTTTTGAATTAAGACAATAGGTTCTATGGTTCTTTAGTACTTTTTTTGTTGTTGAAAGAATTGGAAAAAAAACTCTTTCCCTTGAAGGACCTGAAGTCATCAGCAATCTTTTATTTAAATAGTTTTTCATCATTCCCGGTCAKATTGTCTAATGCCTACTTAGTCGAATATAAATGAGTAAACTGAAGCTCACGGAACGTATAGCTTAGTCGAAGAAAATTAAAAGTTTTGGCCTTTACAATCAAAGATTGAATGACGTTGTTTCCGCTGATGTTCAATGTTGCTGTCATCTTTTTTATTGCCAAAGTTCTTCACCACTTTTCATACATCAATTTTCTGATCAAACACAAAGTATTCAACCGAAGGGTAGTTTAGTGTACCTTGCAGCCCCGATTGAATACTTTGTGTTTGACCATTGAAACGGTGTATGGAAATGGTAGTCGCATTTCTCCCTCCAGACTCAGTAAAGACGAGTGTTTTGGGCCGGAATCCTGYCTTCAATGTCCAAGCGCGTCCACAGCAATCCTGAAACACTCGTCTTAACTGAGTATAGGAAAATGGTGAATATATACAAAATATCTAAAGATTTTTTGGCAAGGATGTCAACCAATCGCCTGATTTAAGATTAAATAATCTAGGAAAAATGAATATAAAATACTGGAATACGCAGTTTCATGCTTTATCMCATTAGTAGGAAACTAATAGTTGGATTAATTTGGAAAACGAACAAGTTGACAACTCGCAAATTCCTAATTTGCATTATTCCTTTTTTCCTGTACCAAAATAATATTGTGAACCTCTCCCTCCACCCCTCCCCCCTTATTACCAAAAATGTAAAATCCTCGGGTCCATGCTCCCTTTCCCAGGAGATAACAATAAATTCCATATGTATGTCTTGAGGGGATTTTGTCAGTGTTATCTTTAAACAAGACGAACAAAAGCTGGATCACTAGGATGACATGATAACTAACATGAGAAACAAGAGAGCCCTGTAATCGTATACTGGGGGGCGCTAAGCAGCCTCTCCTGATAACATTGGACTCACGATCACGAAAGTACAAAGTGAAGGTTTGAAAAAATACAGGTAAAAGGTGGCTCAAACCCGGGGTTCAAGCATTTGATAATCTTTACTTATTTTGTGCAAATTTGTGGAATTTCTTACAAAGTTTTTTACGAATATATGGTATGCACTCTAATAAAGGTATATTGCAGGTTTTCAATCATTCCCACGAGAAAGAAATAACAAAAGACACGGCGGCCATGTTGGAGGATATAACAAAAGAAACTGACGAATCTTTTGTTAAAGTTATCCAACATGGCGGCTGTGAAAACCATTAATATAAATTACTGCAAAAA